CCCCGCAAAGAAAGGAAATAAAGGTTCAGCAAACCAAGTCAAAGAGATCAGACTCAATTGTGGTGTCTCTTGACCCAACCTTGCTCAGTGGAGTTAGATCAGGCATTTATGTTAAAAGGAATCCAGAAATAGTCATACATCTCATGACATTTCCATCAATAGTGAACTGCACGTAAAGCAATGGTCCCATGAGATTATGTCACCTGGTGATGTTAAAACTCTCTTAATTTGTGTATAGACGTTATGAGAGCTAAATCAGCTAAGGGGACATTTCTTAAAATCTATCCTTGCCATTAAGCAATGTCTGATTGTATTTGGATATCTCCTCTGCCAATGAACTAGCACCAGCACCAGCATGATGGTCACAATGCTTTGAAATCATGCACAAATGATGCCTGAGTCAATTATGAAGGCATTGCCCTTCATATGTGGTAAACTGTCTGTCTTTCTGGACCTTTTCGCCCTCTTAGTGGCTAATCTACAATCTACCATAAAGGGCCAGGTATCCTCAAACTCAATGAACTGATAACCCTCAGGTGATGAGATGATTTCAAGAGGGCAAGGGCTCCAGTACACGGCTTATGGAATAGGAAGAGTGATGAGAAAAACAGAAAATGCTCAGGAAAGTAAAAGATAAGAAATTTCCACCTGGACTGGACTGGGGATCAGAAAATTTGGGCATGAGATCTGACTTTGCCTATAATTTATGATAAGCTTTCCTTCATTCCCAAGTCTACTTATTAGGAAACTGTTCCCCAGAAGCCCTCCAACTCAGAGTTCCTTACTGTAATTAATAGATTGATTAAAAACACATTCATGCTTAAAGACCACATGAAGCCAAATGATTTAATACACATGATATTTTCATGACTACCCTGGATACAGTCCTGCTTCTGTCTTTAACTGATGGGAACAGCATTTCCAGTGTATTATTTGAAGAGGAGGAAGAAGAGGAAGAAGAAGAAGAGGAGGAGGAGGAGGAGGAGGAAGAAGAAGAAGAATTGTTTATATGAAAGACAATTTGAGAATTCAGTAGAAAGGATGGGAGAGGAACCTGATGGGTAAATAAATTATACCAATAAATCTCCAGGCAGAAATCAGGCCATCAGCAGAACCAAGATGCCCCTGTGTTTTCCAGAACTGGATGGGAAAGGTGAATGCAGTTGAGGTCCCCCCTTCCTTTTTCTCTGGAAACCACCCCTTGGCTTGGGTCTCTGGTCTCCCTTGATTCCCTACCAAAGACACCAGATGTGTGTGCTTCTCTCAGCCCCTTCGACCTCCGCCAGCCTGTCCCAACATCCTCTGCCTGTTAGAGCAACAGCAGCATCAGCAATAGGACAAGAGACAGGGTGTACATGTGAACAGGGTAGAAGGTCCCCACTCCCCAGCTGAGGTCAACATCTGGAGAGACTTAGATTTCAGAGAGGGATTCAGACTGAGTCATCAGCATGTGTAACGGCTGTCAGCAACTTTTCCATGATCCCTCTTAATAAACCCCAAGTCCCAGCCTGCTGGGAAGATCCAGCCCTGTGAAGACATCTATTGGACTCCCCAGGAAAATTAATAGAGTTACTTTGAATAGGAGAAATAAGATGGGATCCAACTAGAGATCTGTTACTTCCAAAACAGTAACACCCTACACCCACCCTTCCTAACCTAAGGACCCAGCCAGTGGAAGAACTGGCTTCCAAGTTCTTCCCTGCAATGCTACCTTAACTGTGCCCTATGACATAAAGACACCATATCGGTCCCCCTGTGTCCAGGTAAGACAAAACTTGGCCCAGAGTGAGGAAGAGCTAGTAGCTCCTCTTCTAAAATGGCTAGGAATTCTGTCTTCCCAATGTTCTACTCCCTATCAGAAAATATCCATTACCTTTCACCAATCAGAAATAAAAATAAAACCAAAGAGTCAAAAAAGAAACAAAAGCTAATCCTGTTGGGTAAACCAAGATGGAAGAGACAGTCCTATCAGGTTGTCCCTTCTAGTCCTGTTGCTGGGTTAACTAAAGTAGCTCATAGATCCTCTCTGTTGTTTCTTTGTCCAAAAATATAAAATAAAATAAAGTTAGCAGGAGAAAAGGTGAGGAGACAGGGAGCGGACTGGACTAACGGATGGCTCTCCAGGGAAGGCCTTGCTCTGGGCCCTCTAAGGGTCAGGAGTGAGCTCACTGTGTTCCATCTAAATTGCCCTGGCTCATGCAGCCCAGGAGCTGAAATGGAAAGAGAAACAGAGCAGGCAGCAGGGTCCAGCTCAACTTTGCTCTGTCCTCACCCCAGGAGGTCCAATCCAGGAGCCAACTCAAACACCCCCAGTCCCACCCTTGCTGGGCTGTGAATCGCCTTCCTCACTCTGGGCTTTCTGCAGCTCACACATGTCAGCCTGGGTGTCTGAAACCCTGTGCAAAGGAGGCCCTTTTGTTTGTTTGTTTCTTCACCAGCTCTCAAACCTAGCTGCCTTCCCTGTGGACCTCAGCCTCTCTCTGGCAGAGCCAGTGGATTTAGGGTATGAGGGAGTGGGGACAGAAGTAGTATCTAGTCTCCAGGACCATCCACAAAACATCTGTCAAACCAAAGTGGCCAGTTTCTAGCCAGCAGAGCCAGGTATCAGGGGTCAGCACAGAGCACCAGAGAGGTGTGAGGGGACAATGTCCTTTGCTTCTTTCCCTGACTAGACATGCTCCCACTTGTACAGAAGCTCTCTGAGTGTGTTGGACTGTCTATTTCCATAACATACCAAAGGGGCTAGACTGAACAAATATTTACTGACCACCTACTGTGGACCATGCTAACACTTGTGGAGATGGAACAGAAACAAAACAATACAGTCTCTGAGAAAAGGCTACTTCCAAAGCCAGATCATCTCAGATCACCTGGCCCAACCCGTTCCTTTATAAAACAAGGAAGCCAAAGTCCAGAGGAGAACAGAGACACCACACTGCCTCCTGTTGAGATCCGTTTAACATACATTACACAAAATGGAGCTTCACACCAACGGAGTTTGTGGTCTAGACCTGAAGGTCAATGTTCTGGGGACAACGGTCTTTGAAGAAATTTTAAAGGATGATGAATATTGATTGAGTAGGAAAAGGCTTCCTTGAAGATGGGGGACAAAAATGGAGGAAGAATAGGATAGCTAACAAAGGAAAAGAAGGACTTCTTATTCATTCAACAGATGTATGCCATAAAAACTGAGTGGGCTCCTATTCTGGGGCAGGACTGACCAATGCCTGGGGACTGTACAATGGTGAAGACAATGGTTAAATACGTGCTTTCATGAAGGTCATTTGCTTGTACGCAGGACGCTAGATTGGAGTGGACAGAGAAGCTCCTGGGAGGCAAGGCAGCAGACTGCTTTATATATTCCTCCATCCTTGTACGAATAAAAGCCACCGAGAGGAGGACTCCAGAAAGACCTGCCTGGAAACAAGAAAATGGGAAGGGTCACCATGGAGACCACTCAAGGAATCTGGGTATCAAAATATGATCTGACCTCTGTAGGACCTGAAATACAGAGAGCATGGCTTGCACTACATCTTGTCTTCCATTCAGCCAACCTTTAGCTACGAACCCCCCGTCTATAAGATTATTTTGAATAAGGATAATGGTTGTGGGGAGAAACACAAGGACAAAAACAAAAAACAAAGAAATAGCTCTTAGGTTCTACTGACCTCTGTTCCAAAGGACTTAATAGGAGGAAGAAGAAAAGGTTGATGACCAGCCTCCAGACACATAGACCCCATAACCATCATTCAGTACCTCTATTCAAAAATCTCAAAAGCTCTTCAAACTCAACACAGTCTGCTTGAAGCTATGCCTAGTCATCACTGGGTCCATAACTGGTCTTCAGCTCATTGAATAGTACAAGCACCCAGACAACTGCATTGCAGAGAAACAAAAGGCATACCTTTGACACTGTCTGGTACCTCCCACATCAAATCCTTTACCAAGACTTTGCCTTTTGCTAAACTCTCTACATCTCCATCAATACCCCGCTGCCCCATGGCTAAGCTGTTATCAAATCTTGCTCCCTCCTGAACCAGTGCTAATTCTTCCTAATGCATGCAAGGATGGTTTGATCTTTGCCTCTTTTTCCCAACCTCATCCTGCACCATGTTGGGAAGTTCCTCACAACCCCAGCCTAAGAAATCATTCACTGATCTATGTAAAGAGCCGATTAGTGGCTCTCCCCTGACTAGGCTGAACATTCCACACGTTTATACCCACCACTGTCTTCCTGGCACCTAAGTACATGGCATATCCTTCATCAACAGTAACTATCTGTAACTGAATTTAAAAAAAAAAATTGTCAAGCCAATAGTTCTCAAGCAGGGTGACTTTGCTCCCTACTCCCCCAGGGTCCCAAAGGAACAGACAATAACGTTTGGAGATAGTTTCAGTTGTGACATCTGCAGGAGCTATACTAGCATCTAGTGGGTAGAGGCCAGGGATTGCCGAACACCTCACAATGCACAGAACCCACCAAAACTTACCCAGCCCTTGGTGTCAATGGTGCTCAGATTGAGAAGCCCTGAGTCAGATAAAAGAGAAGGAAAATGTATATTTTGATCAGACTGAATTGGATCTCCAAGAGTCAAGTGCTTATAGAAATACATTCATTACCTCCAGATGCCATGAGACGTGTGTATTCACACAACCAATGACTGATACATGCCCTACAGGCAGGAGACGCATATTTTAATAGCTTCTGTGACTCTCCAGATGCCAAGCACAAGGCTGAGACTTAGTTGTTCAGTAACACCTGTCTGGAAACCCTCACTTAATCTAAAAAGGACCTCAAAATTGAAGAGCAGCCTTGAGCTGCCTTCAGGTGGCTGCCTTATTTCACATATATGACCAAAGTGTAACAAAGGCTAATGACATCACAAAAGAGCACCACCCACCTGCCACGCCCCTTTGGAGTCACAATTGCTACAGCCTTAAATACCCTGACTCCTGGCCTCTGGGGCTTTGCAAAGCCCCTCATTCTGGCAGAAATTACAATGTCGACCAGCCGCAAACTAAAGAGTCATGGCATGAGGAGGGGCAAGAACCGAGCTCCTCACAAAGGTGTCAAGAGAGGCGGCAGCAAAAGAAAATACCGCAAAGGCAGCCTGAAGAGTAGAAAACGGGGCGATGATGGTGAGTGAGGGGCAAGTAAGAGAGCTGTTAAACTTGGGGACATGTTGCTCCCCAGACCCAGCCTCCTGGAGGCAGCCCTTACATGACCCTCAGCCTGAGATTACTCCCAGTGACTCGGTTCCTGGGCAGTTTGGGCAGGAAGAGTCCTGGTATGTTGTTCTAACAGGTGTCCCTGTTGCAAACCTGTCCTTCCCCCACAGCCAATCGCAGTTACCGCTCCCACTTGTGATCTACCAGTGGGCCCTGTCCTGGTGAACTTCAAACAACACCAGGCAGCAACGAGATCAGAGGGGGGACTGCCAAGGAGACCTGAAGTTAGACCAAAGTCAGAAGAACCTATGGTGTGGGAAAAAAGCCAGTGGTAATGAAGTGAGGAATGTATATGTTGGCTGTTCCTCCCCAACATCTCAATAAAAAAATTTGAAAACTGAAATGTTTCCTTTGATCCTTCGGAAAAACTTGGTTTCCTGAGCTAGGGGTGAGAATTAGATGGAATGAAATTATTAAAGATGACTTGGAAAATAGCAAAAGTAATTTGTCCTTATAATTCCATCCAGTGGTGGTCCAACTCTGGCCAAAAACCATCACTAAGATTTGTTCTTGTGTGTGTGTGTCTCAGTGCACCAGCCCTCTCCTCCAATGGACAGGGAGAATTCATCCGAGTGTCCATCATGAGTCATTATTTTAAGAGGCTTTGGGTCCAGACATACGGACCACTGGGAGGGGCTTCCTAATTCACTGATAACATGGCTTGGTTTGAGATGAACAAACTGGGGGCAGGGACATTGCCTGGGAGGTTGAGGCCAGCAAGCATGACTCTGATGTCATAAATGAACCTTAGCTGGGTGTGACTAGCAGTACAAATTACCTCAATCTGGGTGGACCTTATTGATCATTTGGGAGAGAACTGTCCTTAAGGTTCTGCTCATTTAGGAAATTCCTAAGCCCTCACTTTCCTTGGACCTTGGGTTGTGACAGTTTATAAAGTCTCTGGCCAGGGATCTTAGCGTCTATTCACTTAGAAGGGATCATTATTTAATGAATGCTTCTTAAGCACTCAGATTTGTACCGAAGAACCGGCCACCCATGTGGATTCTGTCTGCTGTGACAGAGCGAGGAAAGAGGAAACTCATAATTGTCAATGAGGAATTTGTGCCCTAAGCAGGTGTGTCAGCCTGAGGGTGTCGGGATTGGAAGACTTTAACAAGATGTCCATGTGGGCCAAATTTTAGTAATGCAACAGAAAACCATTCATTTCTCAGATGTCTCCAGAAGAAAAAATGCATGTCTTCTTACCTATTGGAAGAGTTGCTTGGTCCTCACGGTTTCATGAGCCTAGAGAATCTGCACACTATTCCAGAACCATGTTCAAGTTCATGTGGAAAATCATCTTACCATCAGGCATATGGAGTATTCAAACTCATTTTCAAACTGAGCTCACTTTCCCTGGCTGAACTTGTACTGATCTAAGATTTCCAGTTTCCTCCTCTAAAATGGTACTGGGGAAAACACTCCCTTTGTTCACCCTCATCCTCAAAGTTATGCCTGTTTTACCTCCTAAATATTCCTTTTGCCTCTCCCTCTTTCTCAGATTGGTCTCAGATGAATCTCCCTGTGTTTGTCCCTAGTGTGACTGAACAACCTCTTTTAATTTCTTTAAGTTAATAAATGGTTCTGATCTGGAATCCGTGCTTGAGAAGCTACGAAAGTGCTAGAACCTACCCTGCTCTTGTGCCAGCTGAGAATTCTTCTACCTTCTTGCAGCCCCCAAGACCCCTCCAAAAAAATTTTTTTTAAATGTTATTTTGATGTTGAGCTGCTCTTACTGCCAATTTTTCTAAATTAACCCTCTAGGTTGGGTTCTTGGGAAGCAGAGATTGAGACCGATTTGGATGCAAGATGTGCATTGGAGGCTGACCATCGGGAAGAAAAGGAGTAGAGGAAGGAGCTGAATCTATCAGGAAGGATGGCCTGCTAGGGGGTCCTGCAGAGTCATGATGGCCAGGCCTTGACACCCCTCCTGCCCAGCCAGGCTGCTCCAGCAAGGGCTGACTCAGGAGGCACCACACTGAAGCAAACCCTCCAGTGAGTATCAGCCCACACACCCTGCAACCTGGCAGATGCCCAAGTCCATACACAAGCTTTCTGATGGCCCCCATTTCTTCCCCACCTATGCACACCTCACTGCTCAGCCATTTCTACTTCAATCCTGTGTCACTCTCACACACGACTCAGCCATTTGCACCTTGTGCCCTGTTGCCCCTGTCCCTTGCTACCATTCAGGTTACCCACAGGATCAAAAATGACCTCCACACAGGGCCACAAGTCAACAGGTAGGAACAAGCCAGAACCACAGTAATGCTGAGAGCATGGCACTAACTGCCCACAGGAAACTTGCTATGACTAGAAGTCAACCTGGTTAAGGGCTCTATCTGTCACCATCTTGCAGGAAAAGGAGATCCCTGAAGATGACTCAAATGAAGAGGCTTCATTGAAGGGACTGTTTCCTGAAGAGGACACCCAGAGTCTAGCATGGGTGGCTTCAGATCCTTGGATTAAACGGGAGAAAAGGAGCCTAAGGAGAGCCAATGTGTGCTCAGGTAGATGGGCCCCTGGGGTAAGACTGTGTTAAGGAGGATCACAGCTGTGACCAGCATCTCAAGAGACAAAGCATCCAGACATTTCTCTGATCTCCTTCTGGTGCTCCTGTTGGCCATACTCAAGGAGAAGCCAGCAGGCAAGGCCTGCTGGAGAAAGCTCTGGATACACTGATAATAGCTGACACAACTTTGTGGGGTCCATATCCTCTTTTTTGGGATTTCTTAGAAGTTTGCCACATTAGCATCCAGTTTATCTTCTCCCGTATGTTGTTACAAGCCAAAGTCCCTTCAGGGGATGGAGTGTGAGAGGGTTCAAAACCACCTTGTTCAGACTTCTAAACCAGGTGTTCACCCCGAGACATCACAATATTCCAACACAGCACTGCATTTCTGCAACAACTAAACACTTTAATTAGCCATGAGGACTTGAGCATGGAAAACAGCCTGGGGCTACTCAAGGTAGACAGATCCTTGCCTGGTGACTTCAGCCTTTGCCCTCTTGGATAAATTGTGAAGGAGCAGCAGCCGCCCGGAAAATTCTGTTTATAGGAACATTTTCCAGGCCCACGTATTGGAAATTTTCCAAGACTGGTGTTGACTTAGTCCCTGCCCTCCAGGAACATTCATTCTGTCCCTTTTTATGGCTCCCGTAGGCCCAGCACCTGTGAGTCTTTGGACCATGGTGACACTCCTTAGGGAGACAGGAAGACCACTCTCTGTGCTTTTTCTCACCTCCCCAACCAAGGAAGAATTTGTCCCTCTCCTAGTTTCCTTGGAACGTCGTGTCCTCAAGTCATCACTCGTTCGGTCTTTTTGGAAAGTGAAAAATCAAATTGAAAAAAAAAAATTAAAGACCTTGGCGGCAAGCCCTTCTGGGTCACCTTGACCTTACTGTGAGCTGACTTGTATACTGGGGCCTCTACTGCACTGGCTGCAGGTCCCTTGGGAGTGGTGAAGCTCAAAGGACCCACATGTGGATGGAAGAGTTATGGGAAGCACAGTTGATCCCCACTCATCACCCCAGGTCTCCTCCAGATGACCCTGGGTGGGTCCAACGTGTCTGTGCAGACAACCGCAAGCAAACAGGAAGTTCTGGAGAAAAACTCAGGGCTGAGCTGGGGAGGTGAAGGCAGAAATGGCAACTGGGAGGAGACTGTGTGCTCTGGGGGCAGTTGGTACAAGTCAGACATGCCTGGGGCTCGGCTGTCAGGGTCACCCAAAGGTTTTGTCCTTAGAGACCAGAGAACAGCGGTGGCCTGAAAACTCTTAGTCTCATCCTCTGTCTTTGCAATCTGAGCCCTCATGGCCAGGCCAACCCTGGGGAAAGAACCAAACAGAGCAGGGCCTTAATTCCTGACTCTAGGAGCACGGGGTCTTAGTTTCCAGGTTGGTCTGCTTGGCCAGGTTGATGAATGACGCAGCTCTCTACTTTGCTCCAACAGAGCCTGCCTTTCCTCGCGCCTGGCCCCACCCAAGCTTTCTCCCTCTCCAGTCTTACACCAGGCCCAACAAGAAAGCTCTCCTCCAGCAGAGCCCAGCAGCCATTCCTGCTCTCTTAGCCCAGAGGCCCAAAGCAGTAGCTGAGCAAGATCTCCTTGACATCTGGCACTAAATTCCAGTGTCTATATTCCATTGAAACCCACAGCCCCTCCTTGTGACCTTGATGGACCTATCAGTCCTTCCTTTACACAATTCTCTTTCTGCAGTTGGGGCCATTTCGTCTCTTTTCATAGCCCAACTTCCCTATCACTGTAACCAAGTCTGACCTTTGGCAGAAAGGAATGTGACCTTCTGGGCAGCTGGCATGGCAGAACATGCGAGGGACGGTCACTGGGCAAGCCACCCTGCATCTGAATGACCACTCTACAGCGGTGAGATGTAGGTGATTTTTGAAATTCCATTAATCTCATCTTCCTTATCGGTAAAGTGTCAATCATAATATCTATCTCCCAGGGCACTTGGGATAACTTAGAGTGGTATAAACTACAGGTCCTAAGTTAGTTGGAAGTCCCCTCTTCCTCTTAGAACTGGTCCCTTAGGTATCTTATGCTGGTCTGACCCTGACTTATGGCTCTACTTCCAAATCCTTGGTCTCAGGATGCTACATCACATAAAGCTGAGTCCTGCAGTTTTCCCCAATGGCCTCTTACCAGCTCTGCCAAAAGCTGTCTCCAGGCTCCCATTGTGACCTGGAACCTCTCACCCTGTCCTGAGCCAATTGCCTAAGTTAGGTCCTGACATCAGAAAAATACCTACACCTCCCTGGGGCTTTTCTATAAAATGTAGGAGATGGGGATGATCTTCTCTTTCCAAATGTAAGGATCCCATGAAATGTCGGAGAAAGAGACCACCAAGTGACCACTCATGCAATTGGCAGAAGGGGGATTTATTGAACCAGCATGCTGGGGCTCCGTGCCCACTCAAGAAGGGAAAGCAGCCCAGAGCCCTGAGCAGGGGCTGAGCACTGCTTAAGTACACTTTTTGGGGAGGGCGGAGGGCCTTGTATACATCAGAACAAATCATCATGAGGCGTGGGAAAATTGAATAACAACTCCTAAACATGATTGGTTCATTCATTGGCGGGAACAGGTCAGGCTGGAGTGATAGGTCATTCCTAAGGAGGGGGGGT